GCTCAGCCTGTAATCCCAGCACTTTGGGAGGCCGAGGCAAGTGGATTGCCTGAGCCTACGGGTTTAAGACCAGCCTGGGCAACTTGGCAAGACCTCATCTCTACAATAATAAAAAATTGGCCAGGCATGGTAGCACGTGCCTGTAGTTCCAGTTACTTGGAAGGCTGAGGCAGAAAGATCACCTAAGCCCAGCAGGTCGATGCTGGGATGACCATGAGCATGCTACTGCACTCCAGCCTAGGTAACGTAGTGAGACTTAGACTCAAAAAAAAAAAAAAAACCAGTGGCAACTTTCACATTGCATGTGAAGAAGTAACTGTCACACTTACCACTGTCCTACTATAAACAACAGGAAACCATACAAGATAGGAAATAGAACTGTTTTCTGACCTTGGACAAAAGGCAGGTAGGCTGCAATTCTCACCAGAAGGGAACAAGGTAGCCACTCCTCCCCAGAACCCCTGCTCCCCTGCTGCGGCTCAGGAGGGCAAGCCCAAGCATTCAGTGGTCCATCTTGCTGATGAGGAGACAGAGGTCACTGACTATCAAAGGAGCAGGCTGGAAACTCCCAAAGCTGGCATGGGGCTGGGGACAGTGTGCGTTCCCACCAGTCAGAGAGTTCTCAGCAGAGATGACCCGTTAGGGCATTGCTACCCTGGGCCTGCCCTAACAAGGTCTAAAAGTAAGCCTCAAAAAGGATTAAACTGATTCCAAGAGACTCAGATTCATGCCAGGAAAAAAAGTCCAGAACTCAAAAAAGAAATTCAATGAAATCCTGTACTCAACAACATCAAGTTCACAATGACTGGCATCCAATCAAAAATTAATAGCAAGCAAAGTGCAGGAAAATGTGACCTATATGTAGAAGAAAAATTAATCAATAAGAACAGACCTAGAAATGACAGAGATGATACGATTAGCAAACAGCTACTATAGCCAGGCACAGTGGCTCACGCCTGTAATCCCAGCACTTTGGGAGGTAGAGGTGAGAAGATTGCCTGAGCTCAGAGGTTCAAGAGCAGCCTGAGCAACATGGCAAGATCTGTCTCTATAATAAATCAAAAAATTAGCTGGGCGAGGTGGTACACACCTGTAGTTCTAGCTACTTGGAAGGCTGAGGTAGAAGGATTGTCTGAGTCCAGCAGGTTGAAGCTGTGGTGGCCCTGAGTATGCCAATGCACTCCAGCCTGGGCGAAAGAGTGAAACTCTGACTCAAAAAAAAAAAACAACAAACGCTATTATATATATGTTTCATATGTTTTACGAATATAGAAAAAACACGAACATGATGAAGAGAGAAATAGAAGACATAAAACAATCCCAGGGAACCTCCGTAGGTGAATTATACAACATCTAAAATAAGAGACACACTGGATGTGGCTAACACGAGACTCTGTATGGTAGCAGTAGAGACCAAGAAAAATAAAGCATACAGGAAAAAAAAACAAAGAAAAAAAAAACCAGGCTCGGAGTGGTGGCTCATGCCTGTAATCCCAACAAGTTGGGAGGATCCCTTTGAAGCCAGGAGTTCAAAATCAGCCTGGGCAATAAAGCAAGACCCTGTCTTTACAAGGAAAAAAAAAGACTGAAAAAAAGAACAAGTACATTGTGGGGCCAATAGTACATGCTAGCTATCATAACTGGAGTAGCTGAAGTCTTAACGGGGAATAGAGAGAGGGAACAGAAAAAAACATTTAAAGAAATGGGCAAAAACTGACCACATTTGATGAAAGCTAAACTCACATAGACTGTAGGCTCAAGAAGCTCAATGAACTCTAAGCAGACTACATGAGAACCACATCACTGCACATCCAAACCCAACTGCTACATTTCCATCAGGATGGCTACGTTAAAAAAAAATTAAGGCTGGGCTTGGTGACTCAGCCTGCAATCCCAGCACTTTGGGAGGCCGAGACGAGTGGATTGCCTGAGCCCATGGGATTGAGACCAGCCCAGAGAACTTGGTGAGACCTCATCTCTACAATAAATCGCAAAAATTAGCCAGGCGTGGTGGCATGTTCCTGTAGTTCCGGCTACTTGGAAGGCTGAGGTGGAGGGATTGCCAGAGTTCAGCAAGTCGACGCTGGGGTGGTTGTGAGCATGCCACTGCACTCCAGCCTGGGCAATGGAGTGAGATTCCAACGCAAAAAAAAAAATTAAAGTGAGTACTGCAGGAGACATCCTTATGGAAATTGGAACTGGAAATCAATTCCTGATCAAAACCCCAAGTGCTCATACCATAAGAAATAAGATAGACAAGTGGTGCCTCACCAAACTGACAAGTTTCTGCAAAGCAAAAGAAACCATCAAGAGAGCAGGGAGACAGCCACAGAATGGGAAAAAATATTTGCCAACTGTATATCTGACAAAGGCTAAGATCCAGGATCTACAAGGAACTCAAACACGCCGAAAAGAAAAAAACAAATAGCCCCATTAAAAAGTGGGCAAAAGACATGACTAGCCACTTCTCAAAAGTGTCTATTCTCAGCCTCACTAATTATCAGAGAAATGCAAATCAAAACCACATTGAGATACCACCTAACCCCAGTAAAAACAGCCATCATTAATAAAACAAACAACAGATGCTGGTGAGGATGTGGAGAAAAAGGAACACTTATACATTGTTGATGGGAATGCAAACTAGTGTAACCTCTTTGGAAGACAGTGTGGTGATTTCTGAAAGAACTAGAAATTGAGCTTCCATATGATCCACCAATCCCCCTATTGGGAATATACCCAGAGGAACTCAAATCATTCTACAAAAAAGATACCTGCACACACATGCTTGTAGCAGCTCTATTTACAATAGCAAAAACATGGAACCAACCATGCTGCCCATTGAAGCTGGACTAGATTAAAAAAAAAGCGATACAGCCGAGCTCGGTGGCTCAGTCTGTAATCCCATGCCTTTGGGAGGCTGAGGTGAGTGGATTGCCTGAGCCCGCGGGTTCGAGACCCGCCTGGGCAGGCGAGACCTCATCTCTACAATAAATCAAAAAATTAGCCGGGCGTGGTAGCGC